AGGAGAGAAACAATCTGCAGAGAAGAATGGTGGAAAATACCCCCCAAAAAGTTTACCAGGCGTATAAAGACTGGGGTTTCAAAAATATTGATACTAAATAAAAGTGTTTTTAGGAATTAAATTTAGTTGAATGAATGAATGAGTGATATGAGTTTTCTTGATATTTACACAGTGAATGAATGATACCTCAGGAAATCTCAAAATATTGTCAGGTTAAGTTGTTATTCATTTGCACACTAGCATTTGTTGAGAAAGAAAAGGGTATTTTTTTAGTTACCGTATTTGACAATTTCTATCTCCATGCTTTAGAAAAATGTGTCTACTATTGAATATATTCCAAGGTGCTAAGTTCAAGTTTGACATTTTAGTATTGTGACAACCATTGTAGAGAGCTTCCCATGAGCCAGCCAAAGTCTTTCAGCAAAATAATAAGACATAAATGTGAATACTTATGTACCTATCATGTTTAAATATTTGCATTTTTTTTTTAATGTACACGAATGTCTAAAACAGTGAAGCCATTGAGAATATGTATGTAAAATAAAAATGAAAAAAGAGAGGGAATGTGATTACACTGCTGACAAATTAACTTGTTGGCTTGTTTTAAAAATAATTAAGGAAGTAGAAATTAGTAATTCTGCTTTACTTTTAACCAGTGATTGGGCTCAATATCCCTCGATGGTTGGACTGGAATATTTCGGTGAATCTACTGAAGACATATTAGATTGGGCTTCCCCTGAATACTTGTGAATACTTTAACCTGCCACATATCTATGTTTGAATGATGTTTGGATTATGCTTTAATGACTACATGTAGATGAGATGTATATTATTTATCTTCCATCTACATTAAGCTGGTATGTGAAGCACATGCACAGAGGGATTTTCTCCAAGACTGACAGGAAACAATGCAGCTTCACCCACTGAAGCTCTGAATATGATGCCCTATTTCACAAGAATTACTTTCCCATGTGTTGTTTGACAGCTGTAATACACTGCTGCTGTTTCTCCCTCTGCCATAAGGCAGATGCGTGCTGGTTGGATAAGAAAAGACTGTTGACAATATCAACTCATCTGCAGGCTTTGACCCCAGAGAAGTGAAGCCATGGCCGTTTAGAGCTCCCTTATCAGCATATCTTTGCCTGCAGGGCCAACGCTGAGCAAAGCTTAAGGCTTTTTTTATTTTAGATATTTTTTTGTGCTGCCATGCCTCTGGGTTTCAAGTGGGTTTTTGTTCTCTGTGCAAAGCGAATGCAGGCTGTGGGCTGAGGAACAATGCTGCTTTCACAGAGCAAGGCAGAAACTGCACGTAGCCGTCCCCACAGCTTTGTGTAAGGAAACTTCCTGTCACCTCTGCTTCTCAGCCTTCATTCCTCTCTCTGATGCAGAAATATAGCACATTTACATCTGCCAAAATAAATAAACACAATCAAAAATAGCTGTTTGCAATAATGTTACTGGTGAATGATGACTGCTGGTTGTGTTTCTCCTGCACGTATGTTCCCGGAACCGTCAAGCTTGTCAATGTGTGCAGATGATCGAGATAAAAGAAGCGATTTAAAAAGTAAAAGGCCTCTGGAAAGGTGATGTTTAACTTTTAAATATAATAAGTCAAAAATATAAATATCACTGAAAGACTAATAATCAAATGATACCAGTTATCTGACATGTTGAAAATAATATTATACAATATTAAGTAAATTTTTGTCTAATCAAAGGGATCTAGTATCAGAGCGTTATAATTCCAGGTGTTAAGAAATAAAATAACCTTCAAGAACTTGACTGAACATTTTACTGATAAAGTTTGAACATTAATGCTACAGTAATTTATTTCTGTTTGTTTTTTGATAAAAATAAAGCATGCTGTCATTTTAATAGACCTGGTGAGATGTGCAAAAATAATTCAAATAAACACAATTTTTTTTTTTGTGAACTATCATTATTCAATATGACTGATATGAATCAGTTTATAATATTGCTGTAAAGTCCCAAAGTTTGTTAAATTTCAGTGTTTTTTGTAATATCAAACAGATGATTTAATAAAAAAAAAACTTATCTCACTCATTCTGAAAAGGTCATCATGCACTTTGGATGGGAGGCAGGCCCAGAGAATCACAGATCTTCCACCGTACTTAATAGTGGGCATGAGGTAGTTTCCTTTGCATTCATTAGTGTTGCATATTTAATTGCATTTGTGATATAATAACTTAACAAAACTACATTTATTAATTGCAGAAGCACTCAATCTTTGTCGCATTACATTTAACAAGAGTAAGACACTAAATTTCTCACAGCAACCCCTAAGGTGGTGCTAAAGCATTTTAACTGGGTTTGCTTCAACACTGAACGGTGGAGAGAGTTGCACCTAGCGCTCAGATCAATGCATGCAAGTAGAAGTGAACACTTTTTTCGCACAATGCTTACAGCACAGTAGTCCTGCAAAAATGGACTATGGACAAGCAAGCTTTCAAGGAAGCTAAAAAAAAAAAAACTGAAACCCTGAAATGAAACATCTAGAAGTTTGTAGAAAATCAAAATAAAGTCAGAATTGCAGTGTTGATTAAAAATGATCACAATTTACATTTTTGGCAAAATTGTTCAGCCCTAGTATCCATCCCTTGTTTTGAAAAAGATCCAACTGGGCTATTTGTTCCTGGAAAGCTCAGTTTCAGTCTTATCTGATCAAAATACAGTTCCTTAAAATCACAGGATTAAAATATTTACGATTGTAATTGGAGGACAGAAAAGGCTATTGTCTAGCATCCTAAACTACTAGTTGGTACTGTAGGTAGATAGAATCTAATTGTCCATGTAGAGAGTTTGTGAAATAAACCCATTTACTTCTTTGAGAGATTATTTTGTTTTTTACCTCCCCCATCATCCTCCTGACTGTGTGAGGATACATCATAAACTTTGGATCGTGTCCAGCCTACTGTGTCCCAGTTCCAACCGTGTGAAACGTTATAGTTTTGCTCTGAAAGTAGATATGGATTGTTTTGGATCTGTAGCTTTTTATTCTTACTCCCTGACTCAAATAAAAATGCATGTTTTTTAATTGAAAGGTATAAACTATTGTTTTTGCTATTTTAAAATTTGGTAAAGATAAAATGCACTGTAAAATTAAATTATGTTTATAAACAGGAAAGCAGAAAGTATTTTATTACTGATAAGAGCCTGTAAAAATGTTTAATTATTTTATAAATTAATCTTTGAAATAATGATTAACTTATTATATAAACACTTTTTAATATGCCAATATTTGGAGCTGTGTAGATTTTGATAAAAGAATGTGACCTTTAGTTTTAACAGCAATAATCCTGGATTCCAACAATGGTTGAGATGGTGAATTTAATTGCATGTTTGATACACAAGCAGAACTGAAGTCTTCTTAAAAAAACACGATCCTTGCAGTACCTTAACTCTCTGAACTCTAGCCCACATCAGATTTCACCTAAATCAACCTTAGCAAGGACATCTCAGTGTACTGGCTTCAGGTCCAAGGTTGATGTGGTAATGCATCTGTGTAGTAATATTTTAAGCCAGAGTGCACATTGAACTTAAACTGACAACAGGGACACGCTCCAGGGAAAGACTTACTGAAGAGGTGAGCCACTTTCAAAGCTTTATATTGCAGAATTAAGGTCATACATGACATCATAAAAACATGCATATACTTATGCTTAATTATTAAACTGATTAAATGACAGGTTTAAAAATGATCAGAGGAGAAAAAAGTTTTTCTGACTTGGTCAGGTTCATGCAGTTGGTGTTATGATTAACCTTGATAATCTGGCCTTTGATCGGGGAACATGAATGGGTGCATTGCAAGATGGAACGATAATAGAGGCAACAAACAAAGGAAAATAAAAGCTAAGGATCAATGCAGAGTTGTGTTGTTGTCTTTAAAACACAGAAAATAAATCAATCTTGGTGGTCTAAATCAAACTGCTGCTTCAATGTGAGTTATATTCAGGGTGGAGCCATCAATGGCAAAATAACAAGAAATCATGGGGAAAGAATATTTATATAATACTTGGAAATATTTATATGTAAAACCAAAGAAATGAAATGGTGAAAGCACAAGATTCCAACTTTTTTCCAAACCTTATAGTCTGACCTACCATGTCTGCCTCAAGCCCCACCTTAGAGGGTAAGAAACATAGCTTTTTTGGACAGAAAAAAAAAAAAAGCAATGATACTTTTTTTTTTAACCTCAGTAGATTTTAAATGTTGAATTTTCATCACAGTTAAAAAAATGCATTGTTGAATTTTTGTTTATTATACTATACTATACTATACTAGTTTATGCGTGATATGTTAAATTGCTTTCAACTATGACTTGAATCTGTAAATTGATTATCAAAAGTAAGGTATGGAAAAGTTATCCTTATATCTTTAGTTTCTCTTTTTCTTAAAATTCAAGTTTCTAGTTCGACAGCAACGGCTGGAAAGACCTGTTGTTGTGAAATGCCTTTGCACCACCTTACATAAATATTAATGCAGTTTTACTATAAGTAATGCCAAATAAATGCTCACTTTTTTTTTAGCTTATCATGTCATTGTTTTTCATTTTTACTTAAACTAATACATTCCCTGTTATTAAGCAACTCAGTATAACCCATTCCTTGTTGTTTAACTTAGGTTATTCTTATGTGTTTTATGTTATTTTTGACATTCATGGTGTTTTGGATATGTTTACTTGTTGATTTGATTTTCTTCACTTATGTTTAGTTTTGTTGCATTGTGTTTATTTACATTTGTTTAAATAATTACCATTTACGTTCGGGTTATAGTTTATCTAATGCATTCATGCAGATTTTTTGAGTTAATTTTTGACTCGATTAGTTTGTGTACTTCCTTTTTTTTTTTTACTTTACTTAAATTAAATAATTAATTCAATAACCAAAATGTTACAACATTTGTTTAAATACCTTAAATGTATTTCATTTAAATTAAATTTGTTTAAGGGCATGTTCGGAACTCTATATTTTGACGCCTATGTTTTTCACACGGAATGTTTTGAGCGTTGCACCAGCAAGCTGTCAAGTCAACAGAAGTAGCTCCTAGCTCACCTGTGAGGTAAAATTCGCGTTGGAAACTTTTAGTTTGTGTTGTACAACTCTATACGTGAGAGTGAATGTATCGTATGAATTTCAACGTGAGAAAACACTTAGTTTCCAGTTTAAATCGGTTGTTTTAGCTGCATACTGTGTGCTAGTGCTAGGTTTGACTTTGTCAATGCTAATTGACTAAACTACATTTTATGTCGAAGCTATTAAAGACTTTTTGCAATAAGTACACTAAGGACAAAGAAGAATTCAGACCTTTTTGGACGTATTTATTTGAATTTGTACTGTTAGCTTTCGTTTCAGCGGAAGCTAACACTATGATTAAGTGGTGATCCAATTATCTCTGCTAACTGGTCAGGCACAGTGTTTAAACTGGGAACTAAAGAGGTTAATTACTTGAGTTTGCTGCTGTGTTATTTTAAGCATAAGGTTTCGGTGTTGAGACAAAATATGTGACCCTCATGTATTGCAACTCTAGTGCTAGCTGTGACGGATTCTCCTCCCCAGTTATCTATCTACTAACCCTAATTTCACAGGTTTCATACCTAAATCTAATGTCACAAATTCAACACCTAATACTAAATTGACTAGATTAATACCTAAACCTAAAGAAGTCTGGTGGTAAAGGCTTTAAAGGTAGTCTTTAGATCCAAACTGCATTACACAAAAGAGTCATAGAGAATAGAAAACATTATCTTGTGTCCACAATAAAAAAAATAATAATAGGAATTTGTTATTTAAAAGTAATGGCATCTGTGATTATAGTTTAAGAATACATTTAACCATCAATGTAACATTTTGCCTGTAAAGTTCACCAGTGTGTTTAGATTGCAGATGTAAGAAAAATGGGATTTTGATCTTGGCATGGCAATAAATCCATCCAACTGTGAGGGCTCTTGTACACAGCCCTCTTCAGTTGACCCCATACATCCTATTTTTGTTTAATTGTTCTCCCAGCTTCTAGCCTGCCATTTGAAGATGCCGTTTTATTTCTGTTAAACCCATTATTTTCTTTATTTTGTTGTATGTCTGGCTTCAATGTGGTCTTGAGTACCCCTTCAATTTTGGGTAAAAGAACGTCTTTTATTTGGAGCTTTTGACAATAGCACCTTGACAAAAGCCTCATTGTTATCAGAAGGAATGTAATCCCAGGTCATGATGCAGCTGCTGCAATGTGTCACTATGTTTATTGTGTTATTTTGGTCGGTATTTTGAAGCCCTGGTCCTCAGGGCCTGCTGTCCTGAAAGCTTTAAATGCTTCCTGATTGACAAGCTTCAGGGAAACTCTGCAACTGCTACTAAAGTAATGCTATCATTTCAATCAGGGGTGCTGGAGCAGATTTGCATCTTAAAAATGAAAAACCCCATGATTTATTTATTTATTTATTTTTTTATCAGCCACTGACCTTGCCTAAGCACTTTTCTAATAACCAAGGTGATATATTTGTGATCAGCTGTGTGTGGCTCTTGTTGTTTAGACAATAAGTGTGAAACACATGACACTGCAAGCTTGTCACCATCAAGCAGCTGCAGGGCAGTGCTATAAACCCTCAGTTAGCCATTGCTTTGTGTGTTCTGCCTACTCATTTAAGCCTTCTAAATTACGTGGTGTTCCAAGGAAAAAGAAATGGGCAAAGTTCTGATCCCAAGTTAAAAAAACAAAGTTTATGCAAACAAAAACAAAACTCCTCCAAATGAAATCGATATAATTGCCTTCAATTATCGGCTAATGACTGTTTCTGTTTTTTAACCTTTAAAGTCCTAAAACAGTAGCTGCTTTTTCAGAAATACAACAAAAGCTAATGGTCTTTTTTTGTCTTTTTTTTTTTTTTTTATGTAGCATGTTCAGTTTTCTTTTGAAGTGTGAGCAATGATCTGGAATTATGTTGCGCCAAAATTTGTGCTGGGCAATAAATCGATTTTTAGTGACTAGTCAAGTTTTTGTTTATGAGGACTTTATGTTTTGATTATTTGTTTCCACCATCTGCACATTGGGCTTTCATGGCTCAGGGTAACATCAATTCATTCCTTTTTGTTTGTTGCAAAACATAATTATTTTACAAGCTTGTTTAACAGCTTGATTTCATTGCCTTTTAAATTAATAAGCACATTGTTGTCAGAAGATCAGTGGAATTTGCTGCCTATTGTTAGCATTACAAGAAAAAAAACATAGATTTCTCTCTAGAGCAATATAGGCCGAGTCTTTAAACGATTTAAAACCCGTCCAAACAAAGGTTTTAAACAGTTTTTTTTATGTTTTATGTCAATATGCATACCCAACACATTTAAAGATGGACGATATATAAATGTAAATACTTACTATGGCTTGGAAATTATTTTGCATTTACAATATAATCACAATTTAAGAAAAACGCATTTTTCAAATTCTTCTCACTCCAGCCTTTTATGTGGCTTTTATACCTTCAAAGTTGGTTTGCCTCCACAAAGAATGAAAGAGACGGCTGGCACGCAGCTATATGCATTATACCAGAAGTAAGAACAATTACATGGAAAATGTTAAGCTCCTGCTTTCAAGCTTATAAAAAACCGAATCCCAAAAGGGAAACATTTACATGATTGCGCTTAGTTCAAAGGCAAGTAGCAATAAAATCACAATTACAATACTGATTGAAAATTAACGCAATTTAGGTTTTTGGCAGAATCATTCAGCCATGAAGAAAAGCAATTTTACTAATCTGAAATGCAGTTTTTGTGGCCTTTTCCTTGACCACATTTAATGGAAACTAACACACAACATTTTTGTGGACATTGTGTTCACAAAGGAGGCTTTGGTACAGTGCATATATATTTCTTTGCATTTGTTACCATATTTAGATCATTAGAAATAAAAACAGTAGAATGATATTAACAGAGGAAAAAATAAATAAATGCAGCAGAATTGCAGAGAATCTTTATACAATAAAATCAAAATGAATGAAAAATGTCTGAGCTTAAATGTTGGAGCATGTTTCTTTTTTTGCTCCCTAAGGACAGCAACCCCAGAGTTTGTAGAGGGAAAGTTGGAAAGTACCTTAAAGTGCTCATCTCTTTTTTCCAAAAGATTTTCCCTTATGTTCTTTTTCCAGCTCTGCATGAAGCTATCTTTTATTAGATGTTTATGGCCTACTTTGTTTTGCACTATGTTTGGTTAAGCAGCTGTTGTGTGTTTCTGTTGGTTCTCTTTTCTAGGGCTTCTCTGCAGGTCTGCAGGATGGCTCAGACAGACAGCAAGGTGCTGGTCCTGGGAGCACTGGCCGGAGTGGCTGGCATCGGCCTGGCTGTTGTGTGTTACCGTAGTTTAAGGTCTGAGCGAAGACTCTCCTGGCCAGGGTTTTATCATAACCGTACCAATGAACAGGGATCCGGGCTCATGTTGGTAGACTGTCCAGGACTTCCCAGGGGTCAGGCAGAGGTCTTGGAGCGCCTAGAGGCCCTGATCCAGTGTGTATCTGAACTGAAAGAAGAGATGAAGGCGTTGAAGATGGCTCTGCCTGCTCTGCCGGACCAAGTCAGGGAGGAACTGAAGGGGCACAGCGAGGCGCGTCGAGTTGGTGCTCCTCACAGGACCGCAGCTACGAGGAGGAGAAGAGCAGCAGGTGCCGTATCACCTGCAGGGGGACAGAGCTCAGAGGATGCGGAGAGCGAGGGAGGGTGAGTTTTTCTGTGCGCAAATGTGAGCAATACATTCAAAAGTCCTTAAAAGTCTTAAAAATAGATTTACATTTTAGAAAACTAAAAGTTGCATCAAAAAATACTGCAAAAATACTGCACAAAATCAGTGCAATGAGTGCAATGCAATACCTCGACTCACCTCACCTTTTTCCACCTGGATCTCCGTTCTTTTTGGCCCTCATGTCCCTCCGTCATCGGACAAAACTCGCTCCCACTTCCTCGCCGCCTCGGCCGTATCTAGACCCACAGCGTGTAGCACAGACCACGCTTCAATATTGAGCATAAATCTAAAATGTCTGTGTAAAGCTCACATCGACACACTGCTATAAGAGTATAACCAGGAAGCGAGATAGGAGGGCAAAATAGGTTTAGCGCCACCTCAGCACGGGAGGGAGAATTACGCCCAGGAGCAAATTGATAAAAATAGACAGGATGAAAAAAAAAAAACATTAATCAATACTCTTGTGGATGTATCGATGCATCGGATCGTCGGCTGTTAGATCGATGCATTGATACAAAACAATTATAATTTACACCCCTAGTAGCTATCCAAAAATGTTTTCCAAAAATAATTTGTTCTGTAGAAGGATTGACTTTAAATGACCAAATTCTTGTTATGAACAATATCAGGTTATTGCCAACAACTTTTCTATATAGCTTTCATTAACACACAGCTGGAAGCTCCAAACCATCAAACTGTGACAGGTTTGGTTTCACAGACTTGAGATCAGTGATGATGATGATGCTTTATAATTCTAACCACAGCAAAAAAATAAATCTTTTATCATAGTTTCACAAATTTTTTGAAATAACTCTGGGCAATAAATCAATATAAATGGCTTTATTCATTTTTTTTAATGATATGACTTTTAAAATATTTATACATTATGGTCTGTAATTACAGCATTTGTCACGGACTGACCTTTGACTAGTTTTTATGTGTTTTGTTTTTTAAAGCAAGTGTTTGAAAAATTTTATATTAGAGGATTTTTTATAAATAGATCTAAAAGATAATAATTAGATATTAAGTACTTTAAACAAGATTATGGATAATTTTTTTTACTTATTTTGAACATAAACTGTCTTATTACATTGGAAAATTTGTCATACTTACTTGCTGAACTCAATAGAACAGTAAAAAAGTAAGATATAATTTTTTCAGTGTAATTATCTTAAATTTGTACAGGATTCTGCTTTGTATATTCTTGGGAGTCTTTCTGAGACTTTTATTTTGTTTATATTGATATCTAAATTGTATCATCTGCACCCAAATGTGGAAATATATCAAGGTATAAGTCTTGTTCCGGAAGTGAAGCTTTGGAGGAGGATTGTTTTGTAGTTTCAGGTTTGGGGGAATCAGAAAAAAAGTTAAGATTTGATATTAGAAGATAATAGATTGGAATATGCTTTATTGTCCTACGGTCGGGAAGTTTAGGTGTATCAGCTGCAAAGTGAAAGGCATTTGGATGAATATAGATACACACAATGATTTAAAAAAGAAAAATTGGGGGGGGGACGATCTAGAAATAAGTAAATACGTCTTGAATGAAGTGTATTTGCCCTTATTTTGAGAAGGTAAATGAAATAGTTTGCCAATGGAATGAGTATTTTTACTCTTAAAATAAGATAATTAGATAATATGCACTTGAAATAAGACAATGTAATTTTGTTTCCTTATTTCAAATGTAAATGGTCTTGTTCCATTGGCAAAATGTATCTTTTACCTCCTCAATCCAAGAACAAATGCACTTATTTTAAGAAAAAATTACTTCTCTAGATTTCCATTTTTTTCCAGTGCAGATGGAATGATGCTGAAAAATAAAGGTGAATTTATAGCATAAGCAAAAAAAAATGCTGTACAGTTATAAAAAGCAAACTAAGATTAAATAAATGCATCTGAGGGCATGACTAGAAAAAAAAATTTAAGATAACATTTATGCATATTTATGAAAAGACAGCAACAGAATATCTACAACAATTGAACATTTGTGCATAAGCAGCAGGGATGTAAACACCTGGAAGTGGTGGTTATAAAGTCTTAAAACCTGCTGGGCAGGAGGATCTGCAATGACAATACTTTGTGCACCTAGTACGTATTTAAAATCTCACAGAAACGACTTTCTAAAAAGGTCATAAAGAGTAGTTTAAATAAAAACATCTGTTTATGATGGGGAATTAGTGTCATTACACAGTCCGTCCACCAGTCTCCACTGTTGCTGCAGCTGAATGTTTTAACTTTAAAGCAGCTCTAAAGTAACCATGGATGCTTTTTGTCTTCTATAATAGGTCTGTATAAAGCTGCTCATACCTCTTATCTATACAGCAGTTTTATACAAACGTATAATAAAAGTTTTGTTAAATCATTAATACATTTAGTCAAATAGTTTCCACAAACGTAAAACTTTTTTTGGGATATTAATGAAACCCTACATAAAAAACATTGACATTACCAACCCCATATTTATTGATTATGTGAGAAATTATAACTTCTTCTGTTAATTTCCACTTGTTTATTTGGTATAAGAAGGAAATGGATTTGTCGTCCGTACCTGTGGAACCAGTTTGTTGGTTTCATATTTCAGATTAAACTCTGACACATTTCTGCAGGATAGAAACGGCAAACTTATCAAGCTGCTTCTTTAACCTGGAGCCAGAACCTTGAACCTATGCCAGCCTTAGATAAAGTAAACAACAGACAATTTTTCTTTTTGAATTGGCTCCCTTTGAAAGGCCATTCTTAGGAAAACAAACACCGGCAGTAAAATGACACAGATTAATCCAAGGTCTAAGTGCAGGATTGGAGTGTCGCTTGTGCATGACACTCTTCTCTCGTTTCAGTGCAAACTATAAACTATTTACAGCTGCAAAACCAAGAGAAGACATCGGAAACATGATGAACACCTGGTACATCTTTCATGATAATTAGACAGTTTGTGCAATTAGCCCTGAGATAAATCATGTAGACTGCCAAATCAGCGTTATTACCATCATAACCACACTCTTTGTTTGGTATGCACAGAGGCTCAGATCAGATCTGTGTAATTACCGCCCAACCCTGTTTGTGGGGAAGGTTGACCAGATGCATTTGAGGAGCACATTTTTTTTATGACTGTAATTAGCATAAAATAGGTCAAATAAATAGGATCTACAGATTAGGGCTGCAACTAACGATTATTTTAAAAATCGATGAATCGGCCGATTATTTTTTCGATTAATCGATGAATCGGACAAAAAAAAAATTTTTATATTAACCTCTTTATTCCAAAATAAACATTTTAGACAGAACAAACAAGCACACAAGTACAGGTTGCTCATTAACTGTACTGGTGCAATATGAAAAATAAATGTTTGTGTAAAAACTACGCAAACTTACATGAGAAATGTAGCTGTACATCCACAAAATATAGGCTACTTTGGTTCATAAAGCGCAAAAAGAGACAGGCATTTTTGTTTTTTAAAGCCCCTAAGGGGTTCAACAATAGGTCCCCCCATTTCAAGAAATGAGTTTTTTTTAGACTAGAAGAGTTCTGCCTTTTAAGACAGGAAAGTATAGCAGTTAAAGTTGCTGCTTGAGAAAATACTGAACCATAGAGATAAAAATAGCCCTGTGATTCAAATTATAAATTGTATTTGGAATAAAAATGAGAGAACTAGGGGTGGTAAAAAAACACTTCCTCCAAAGACAGATATTTACATGGGAATGTGGCAGATAATTAATTGACATATTACTGATCTTGCTGGATTTTGTTCTGCTTTACTTCCATAAATTGCAGGATCTTCTTTTCTTTATCTTTGCCAGAAGATTTAAACTTTAAAAGCCTTGCCCTCATAATTTGCAAGTTAATTTATTTATAAAGAAAATATAAACGCTGCTTAAACAAATGTAAATGAAATTAAAAGTAAAATAAGTAGCCAACCTTATCCCTGTCTGTAACCTACTAACAAGGTAAGGAAAGCATCAGATGAGCTACCTGAGAAACTAACGTTACGTTTCCCCACTTTAAAACCAAACAAACATGGTTACTCATCCTGCTGATCAGCTCTCTTCACTGCCATCGAAGGCTCCAAAGTGTTTTCTTTTCAGGTGCTGCGTCATAACAGTGGTGCTTCCGTGCCATGTTAATTTCTTTTGAAAAAAGTTGCATGTTATCACTTTTTTCACTTTACAAAGCGCAGGCTATTTTAATTATTGTGATCAATTTGCGCCGTCAATCCCGGCGCATGCGCGCTTCATTTGCAGTCTGGACGCTGAGGGTAAACTCCTCACTAAAATCCTGCGGCTCTGACTGCCGCGCTGAGAGGGATTCCTGTGGGAGAGGGAGAAAGGCGTTGGGATGGGGGAGGCGCCCCACGGCAGGCAAAAGCCGCCAGTGACACCGTAAAAAGTCGCCAGATTTGTCGCTAGTCGCTTTTTTGAAAAATAGTCGCTGGAGGGGTCTGAAAAGTCGCTGAGTTGGCAACACTGCAACTGCGGCGCTGACTCGCTCCGCCATATTTTTTTTTCTTCCCCCGGATGACGGCGGCGGCGGATGACGCATTAATCGCGCGACACAACTAATCGATGATTAAATTCGTTGCCAACGCTTTTAAAAGTCGATTTTTATCGATTTTATCGATTCGTTGTTGCAGCCCTACTACAGATAGTACTGCATAGGGCTGCACCATCTTCACTGCAATATCAGTGTGCGCAGGATTTTCCCATCCCAAAGGACCTTTTGAGCTGTTGGCCAAAACGTCTAAGTGTTATTGACATGAATTTCACACGCTAAAGGAATGATAAAGGACTGCTGAAGACATGTATGATTATCGCAGTAAGGGCCGGATCTATCAAAGGTTTGCATGTATAAAAACGTGAGCTATTTCACTGCGCACGCTAAAAAATGTACAAACTGATCTATCAACAGCGTGCTAAAAGGATTTGGTCTTTAAAACGTGCTAAATAGCGCCTCTTATCCATTTAGTACTTTTTCTGCAATGAA